AAAAATGCTGGTCAAGATCAATTAAATTGGGTCACGACACTAAAGGGTCACAGCTAAAGTTTGAAAAACACTGGCTTAAAGTAACCATTCTTCCTGAAGACAAGACTCAGTTGGAATCCTGTATTATGATGTTAGAGTTTTCAAAGACATGGATTGTTCTTGAAGACACAGGCAAGGAGACATTTAGTTACCCAGAAACCATCTGTTCTGAGGGCTTGGTGAATTCTTTTAGTTGGTTTGCTACTAATCATGCAAAATAAATGCAATGATGCAGATCCCACAGGAACCTACTGCTGCTCCCAATGTTGGTCTTAGCAGATTTCTGTTCTCAGAGCCCTGGGGACTTGGACCCCTGCCCCTCCTTTGGAATTCTCATCTCTTTGGGTCATTTTCTCCCTAACTCGCAGTGTCCACTTCATTCCTCTCTCTTGACCCCCAAATTCCTAGTTCATAACCATTTATAAACAAGACATAAAAAGTAGATTGAGCCAGGAAAAGGCTAGAAACCCAGCCCTCATCACTTTCTGGGAATTAGCCTCTCATCTACCTAAAAAAAAAGTTGACCATCCATGACTCGGACCTAAGATAAACACCCGTGCTACTGAAATGCATCTTATACAGGAATTTAAGTTTTCATCTTTGCAGCATCAATTAAAAAAGTAACTATGTGCCCTAAATGTTCGGGGGGAGGGAAAGGTGGGTTTAGGGTGGCTGAGAATTGGCATCTTATGGGTTAATTAGACCACAAACAGAAAACTATAAGTGAAGTCATCACTTTTCATATTTATCTGAGCGATGTCCTATCTGCCATGAAGCAGGTAGGAGAGGGGAAGGCTAAACCCTTAGCACTTTTGGGTTGTTGTTATACTAACAAGTATGGTAATAATGACGCGTCAAAGATGTGCCCTCAACTGCAAATTAGCAAAATTTATTTTCAGGAGCAGTAGCGCAATGTAAGAATACTTAAGCCCAACCAAGCAGTGGGACGTGTATGCTCTCCATGTCAAAAATTACTAGAGATTCAACAACCGTTAAAATTGAAATGATGACTCATAAAAAGTGGCACACCCCCTCCTTCCTACTTCACGCCCTACACCTGTCTTCCACCCCCAGAAAGAAACTTCCTTTGCCATGGTACATAAAATTTACTCTAGAATCCAGAGAACTCAGACTCTGAGATGTGGGGATCTGACATCCAGCACTCAGGACCCCAGTGATTCATCTAACATTCTCTCAAGTTACAAGGGAAATGTACTAAAAGACTACTAGGATCTTTCTGTAACATTGTACCCACATTTTGGTTGACACACTGACCATGACATACTATACTGTTAGCTTTCCACCCTAGTTATAAAATTTTTCTTCTTTTTTTTTTTTTAAGCCTACAGCACCTGGTAGTCCCAGGCAGTCTTCCATCCAAGTACTAACCAGGCCCAACCCTGCTTTGCTTCCGAGCTCAGACAAGATCGGGCGCATTCAAGGTAGTATGGCCGTAGACCCTAGTTACAAAATTAAAAAGAGAAACCAGGTCATACACAGCCTGAAGCTAAAAGGTGGGTTTGCTTTACAGGTGTTGTATTATAGGACCTAGTTTTAGAGTCTTCTGATGGGTCTGAGAATGTTTGTGATGTAGGGAGAAGGTGTTACTCAAATTGATTCCTTCTCTCTGAGCTTCCCACTGTCACACATTCAGCAGCTAAACATTGGTGTCTGTTTTATTACATCAAGAAGCAAATCTCACCATGTCCTTAATGCGCTTTTCTATCAGCCTTACTGAACGATTGGACATTCCGTTTTTGGAACTGTGTTCAATTTCCGGATTTTTTCTTGGCTGCTGTGCTTGGGGATATAAATGTAGGCAGGCAGTTTGTGCAAATTATCATCACAGAAACACACCTCGCTGTGATTTTCCCATTTCATGTTTTCCTGCCTTAGGAAAAATTTTTTAGTCTTACCCAGAGATACTAGGAGCAAGATGTTAGATTATTTTACTGATATGCCTTAGCATATCTTCGAAATAAGTTTTAGGAATGTTGTTATATACTAACTTGTTTTGCATGGATTGCAAAAATAGGACTATTCACAGCCTGGGAATGTCAACTCTGTTAGGAGTTCAGTAATTTCCTGTAAAAGTGAACAATAAAATGTATGGTATTTTCAAAATAGAACACCTGCATTAGAAATTGATTCTGAGCTGGGAAATGGTACAGGTTTTAAAATTGGCCGGATTATTTCTACTAATACAAAATCACAAATCCAGGGTGGTTGTACAGAGAGGACAAATGAGAGAAAAACTTGTTTCTATATTCTTGGTGCTACCAGAATCTGTCATATAATATTTAGTGGAAGTGAAGAAGAGAGATGGGTTTTATAGATTGCTTGAAAAAATGTGTTAACTCCCAAGTAATTTGAACATCTGGGAAGAGTCCAATAGGGCAGAGGGTACCCTGAATGGTCTGCTCCTCAAGAATAAACAGCAACAATAAGATGGAAATGAAGCTTCTTTCCTCACTTATCTAACTCTTCAATTCATTAATCATTTATTGAGTATCTACCATTATGTCAGTCAGGGTCCAATCAGGAGATAGAAACGACACAAAAATTTGAATGGGGCAATTTTAATAAAAATAATTATTAACTAGTGAAAGGGGACTAATCACTAAGAGGAGTAAAAGATCTCTAAAGAATATTGGAACAACAGACATAGGGAGCAGGTCCTATCCCCAGGGCTGAGGAAAGCATTCGCGGAAGGAGCAAACTTGAGAGCAGGTCTCCTCTCAAGGATGAGACACAGACTTCGCTGGAAAAGGTGTGGCTGTGGCCCACAGGACATTGGAGGCTCTCACTGCGGTGCCTCAGGGAGCTTCTCACTGGAGTACCAGCGAAACCCTTTGGAAGCAACTTGCTGGGGTTGTAGACTACCAGGTCTCTGGCAGGAAGCTGCCCACTGGCCACTGTGCCACGGGGGCAAGAAGAAAACACAGGAACTCCAAAGAAAAGCCCCTTCCTCTTGCAGTGTCCCTCCAGTGCCCTCTGCTGATAAACCTTAAGTTATATTAGCTGGCAAAGGAGAAATGTTTATAGGGTCCAGATCCTGTATCACAAAACAAGGCAAAGAAGAGTGAATTTGGAGCACAGGCAATAAATTGGTAACTGGCATAACGGTAATTTAGATACTCTGCTAGACACAGTATTAAAAGATGACATGCATTATTTGTAGGATTGCAAATTGGTACAGCCACTATGGAAAACAGTCTGGAGGTTTCTCAAAAAATTAAAAATGGATAAACCTTTTGATCCAGCAATTGCACTTCTGGGTATTTATCCGAAGAAAACCAAAATAATAATTCATAAAGATCTATGCACCCCAATATTCATGGCAACACAATTTACAATAGCCAAGATATGGAAGCAACCTAAATGCCCATGAACAGACAACTGGATAAAGAAGTTATGATTCATATATACAATGGACTATTACTCAGCCATTAAAAAAATGAAATTCTACCATTTGCAACGACATGGATGGACCTAGAGCTTCTTATGCTGAGTGAAATAGTCAGAAAGAGAAAGATAAATACCATATGATTTCACTTATATGCAGAATCTAAGGAACAAAAAGAACAAACTAATCAAAAACAGACTCACAAATATAGAGAACAATTTGGTGATGGACAGAGAGGAGGGGGTGTTGCGGGGCTGGGAGAATGAGGTGAAGGGTTAAAGAAGTACAAATTAGTAGTTGATAGATGGTCACGGGGATGGGGAGCACAGCATAGGGAATGCAGTTAGCATTAATACATTGGCTAGGTGGAAAACCAGAGGAAAGAGCAATAAGGGGGATTGTTTTATCAACTATATAAATGTCTAACCAATGTACTGTATACTTGAAACTAATAAAATAAAAATTTTTTAAAAAGATGAATAAATGTGGTCCTTTTCTTTAAAAAGCTTATTATAGTAGTGGAGAAAGTCCTTACATAAAAGGACCAATTATTTTGGCTTTGTTCCCTTTATGAAAAAAAGCTGCTATCTTTCTAATCCTTCTGAGCTTATCTGAA